GAAAATGGATTTTTATCTTGATTGGACTGTTAGTTTACAAGAGCATATTGATCAATAAACATTCTTGGCGCAAATATCTGAACTATTGGCTCAACCTTCTTGAGAATGCTGGTTTAATGAATTGAATACACGGATAAACAGCCTCGCTTGCCTTTTTACTATGTATGTTGACTTATACTCACCTAACTAAATAGGCCAAGGTGGACAAAAATCACAAAATTGTCCATGAAGATTTTATTCTATACATTGACAGTATTAAAGATTTTCTTTTTTATCTTACCTTAAAAATAACTACATATGGTTGTCCAAAGTTAACGTGAATTTAATGCGAGGAATTCAAAAATAGCATGATTTACAATTGGTAGTTGTATTAGCCACTGTTATAAAATTAATCAAAATTTAGCCACTATTTCATGCAGTAATAAAATTTGGACAAAAATACCCTAAGTTAATCCGAAAAAGTTCCAGCGTAATATATTGGAGTTCAAAATACCATGTATGTGAATTCCAGCATAATATGTTGTAATTTAAACTTTTATAAGTTAAACTCCAACATAATATGCTGGAATTCGCATCTTTGAGAAGTTGAACTGCCAGAGTTTTGTAAGCAGGAGCTTCATAATCCAACATATTATGCTGGATTTCTTTCGTGTCCCAGCTAAGGGTATTTTTGTCCAGATTTCATCTCTGCATTAAATAGTGGGTATTTTTCGATGACTTTGCATTGCTGGCTATTTTGGGGAAACTTACACAAATGTCCCAAATAAGTCTCAACTTACCAACCTCTAGCCATTAGTCATAGACTTACCAAAACTAGCCAATCACATGTAAAAATTGAAAAACCAAATAAATAAGGTTCTTTCTTTCAAAGAATCACTTGCAAAAATCACCTTCCACATTTTTAAACGTGATTAGCAACATTAGATGCAAGACGGAAAAGAAATTTCATGGTTGAGGTAGCAACATTATAATATTGTATTTTATTTTGTATTTCATCACCTTATTTGCTACCTCATCCATGAAATTTTCTTTCCGTCTTGTATCTAGTGTTGCTAATCACGCTTAAAAATATGGAAGGTGATTTTTGCATGTGATTCTTTGAAAGAAAGAACCCTATTATTTAGTTTTTCAATTTTTATTGGCTAGTTTTGGCAAGTCTATAATTAATTGCTAGAGGCTGGTAAGTTAAAATTTATTTGGAACATTTGTGTAAGTTTCCCAAAGAAGGTGCCAGCAAAATGACTTTACTATATTGGACTATACTGGATTTATTAATGTTGTTGTACCCCAATCACTACCTCAGGCACCCACCTTAAAGTGATGGGCCATACTCCTAAAATATGACATATGATTTGAGCGGCCTTCTACGTGAAACGGCCCTACAGACCTTGAAGAACGCGCCCTGGTCCCATTTCATCCCTTGACCCTAATCCCACCATCTCTCGCCAACCTATCTTTTTAATTTTAAATTTTAACATTCTTATTTTCTTCTTACTATAAATTGAGATAAGATATTATAAACCATTGAATATACAAAAATAGTCGTACGAACTCCAGTACAACGTGCTAGAGATTTATACGCAAGAGTTTCATAATACAAAATATTATGTTGGATTTTTCTATGTTTGCAAATATTATTTTTGCCAATATTTATCTCCGCATAAAATAATGGCTATTTTTCAATAACTTTGTAAATGTTTGTTATTTTTTAATTATCAGTATCATTGGATTATTCTATCTCGAGATTAGTCATTTGGAGATTATTATCCAACATAGTGTGATATAGAAATAATATTATAATTGTGATATAAAACAAACAAGGAATTTTTTACATTCCTATCCCACATAGGAAACCTTTTTACCCTACCTATTTAAGGTATGAGTAAATTACATTTAGTATACCAAATTATCATTTCTATACCGTAATTCAAATTAGTGATATAATTAAGGGGGCATTTATATTAGGCATAATTATAGGACCGTATATTCCCACTTTCTCTTTCCTTTCATTTATATTAGGCATAATTATAGGACTGTATACTATTACTTAGAATTCAGATCTTAGCTTAGGACTTTCTTTTCTCCATGAAAACGGCATCAGCAGTTGCACAAGCAACCATTCCTTTCACGTAGGAATTTTTTAGATTTCGTTTCTATAGTTTATTAACAACATTTTCTAGGCAAAAAATTTCCTATATTAGTACATTTTCATAATTCTATTTTTATAGAAGTGAATTTTAAAAGTCACTGATTTTTTTGTGGATTTGTTTACACTTTCTTAATTGATGTTCGTCCATTGTTGTATTTTAGTATGGGTAGGAAGCATGTTGCACGTATATCGTGGCGTCGTATAGATAATCCTTCTTCAAGCCAAGGAGGTATTAAATCGACTGCATAAATTATATAAATTTTGTAGCTTTTTATCATAATTTTTAGATGTTTACCTCCAAGTTCTATGTAATATTTGTATATAACTGTCAGTTGAATTAAATTACACAACAAAAAATAAGAAATAAATACTCCAATCGTAGAAATGTGTTATCCACAAATAATCTGCAAATTGTCTACAAAATTTTACAAAAACAACAAATTAACTACATTTAACCTACATTATAACTACAATCTAGGAATAATTTACACATGAAAGTTCTTCATGTTGGAATTGGCCACAACTACATTTCTTGTTTTCTAGACACACAATGTACCGCTTCACACCATCCAACACAGTATGTATATGATCTGTTGAAGCCCTCACCTACATTTTCAGAACAAACACAAAGAAAAAAATTTACAATATTAAAACTATAGTATCTACAATATATCCATATTTTATCTACAAATTAACTACAAACTACAAGTAAACTACAATTTGCCTACAATTTATCTACAATCTGGAGACACTGTATATTAAAATATTTTTTTCCTGCACCAAATAAAGAACTTGTAGTCAAATTGTAGATATATGTAGTAAATTTGTAGATAATATTATAAAACTAAAATTCTAAGCATTTTCGAACTACACAAACCTGCATTCTCATCTACCACAATGGCATCAACTTCAAAATCTCTAAATCTGCCATAGTTATCCCAATTCCCATTCAATTTTAGCATTATTAGGATTTTTGACATGATTTCGTGTAGTTGAGAGAAAAAAAATGAAGAACAGATATAGGTTCGACAATTTGAGTATTGAGGACGACGAAGAACAATTTTGAATTCTACAATTTGTATTGCGTTGTTGAAGCTTCTGAAGCTCTGCGTTGTTTTTGAATTGTAGTGAAAGAGAGAATTACGCAGCAATCAGATCTCTTTCCGTTTCTAATTTCGAATTTAATGTGGAAAGAATCAAACGCAGATTTTGTGCCTTTTTTCGCGCGTTTTAAATGGCAGAATCTGCCTAATTATGGATTGGTATATAAATTGTAGTTAAAATGTGGATTGGGCGGGTAATTAACAAATTATGCACATTTTTGATAATAAGGTTTCATATATGGTATAGTTAGAAAAAAATCCCTTAAATAGACTGATCTAGAGGTGTGTTTAACGCGAGGAAAGAGAAGACTTCGTTTGCAAATTTGATCGAGAAGCTTCTATTTTGGTGGAGTTTGACCCACTAGAAGATGTGGGCCGTGGGCCACACCCACCACCCCATGGATACCACTCACGCTAACCCAAGCTGATCCATGAAAAAAGCCCGGACCCCACCCTTCTGAAGTCTTAATCCACTTTACACGTGCGATACTCACGTGCACGTCTCCAATATTAACACACTAATTACTGCAATTAAACCAGTCTTTTCAGAACTCACTTTATAATTATGCTCATTTCCCAAAACTAGATCTAGGTCGCACTAAGTTTATTAAATTTAAAATACATTGTTCCTCTTGTATAACACAATCTGATTAATCCTAAAATTAGAATATTAATTCAACACATTGAAGGGGAGCTTTGCATCTGTTTATGTAAAAATAAGAGATAAAATCTTGGCTAGATAAGACAATGGAATGTGTTATATTAAAGAAGTTCTATTATTCATGTGTAACAAGTATTTCATTTTTGTTAGGACAATTTAAAAAACTTGTGTCCCACTTTGAAAGTAATGTCTTAGAGCCCGTTTGGCCATAAAATTTTCAATTTTCACTTGAAGATGAACTTTGGAATTTTCGAAAACGTGAAAAACTACAAAAAGCTATTTTTCAAAATTTTCACTCAGATCACTCACAAAAATTCAAAAATAACCCAAAATTATATTCATATGAATATCCAAACACAACTCTAATTTTAAAATACTATTCACTTGAAATTTCTTTTCATTTTTTTTGGAATTTTACAATTCTTATGTCCAAACGCCCACTTAAACTGCATATGAAAATTCACTTTAATATTATTCTTATTAAAAGACCAAATGATGCCAATAAGTGCAAAAATGAGATTTATGTCTCACCTAATTGCAGTGGCGCACTAAGTAGGCAGATTAGTTTCAAAGTAATCTGGTCTCCACTTCAAATAATTAGTCATTAGGCCAATAGAGGAGAATTATGACCTCCTTTATGGCTCTATAGAGCAGAAAATAGAACGTTAAGCTAAGCAAGCTAGAAGCTAAAGTGAATTATTTTCACCTTCTTTTTTTTTTTTTGCTTTAACTACAACTTTGATTGGTCTTTCTCTTTCCTTCGGCTCATAATGTTAATTTTATAGGTAAAAATATATATTAATTAATAGTGATTTCAATTGGGTTTGTGACTCTTTACAAACTTATTTTTAGATTTATGACTCCACAATTTTTTTTCTACACATAAGAGATTTACTTTTACACGTAAGAGATATGTCTTTTACACATAAGATATCTAAAAAGGTCATTTCTTAAATTTAAAATTTTAAAGGGCGTAATGTACAAGTATCACCGCACCACATGTTATAAACCTATTGATGTGGTATAACATCTTATGACAACGAAAGAAAATAATTAGAACTGTTAGCTCTTTGATAACCATATAATATATGATAAAGCTGAAGGATAACATGTTCATTAACACTTATTTTGATTATTGTAGTTATTGGAAATTTGTGAAGAGATTACAGATCATTCAACCCCTAACATTAGTTTTGACAAAATAAAAGAAACAAAAAGTGAATAGCAAATATCTTCTAGTTTGTACAGAATGTCTTGAGCATATTTGGCTCAACTTTGTCTCTATATATCTTCATGGTTTTGAAGATGTAACTTGATTTCCACTTCTACCCATAAACTGCAACTCTTTTCTATCATAAATTTCAAGTGAAAAATCTCTCAATTTATGAGCTTTAACATCATTATTGTTGTTATTTCTATCTCCACTACTAGAGCTTAAGCTAGCTGGGGCCATGCTAGACTTGTTTGACCCAACTTTAGGTCCTGTACTCAACGGTCCTGCCGCCATCGTTGGTGGTGGCCTGCTAGTATTCGCAGCTGTAGCTGCCACGAATGATGATATTGGCCGTGCAGCTCCGGCCAAATTAAAAACTGGTGTCACAGAAGGAGTGATCGTCCAAAGTTGAGGATACTGCATGACATTACTATTATTGTTGATGATGTTATTGTTATTAGTAACATTTAGTGGGGGCGTAGCTGGTATCATCCAAATTGCATTGGATGGTACCATCACGCTCCCGTTACCTACCGCCCATACGGGCATTAGCCCTTGTGGAGGAGGGACGCCAGTGGCTATGGTCACTGGTGTCGTCGTCACTGGAGCGAATTGTGAAACATTTGCTACATTTTTATTCAAATTTCCCACATCAATGAACTCCGAATTTGCTGATGATTTTCTTCTACGTTTCTGAGGATTGTTCTCGTCATTTTCTCGATTACTTGGCGGAGAAGTCGTCGGAATTTTTAACGTCCCGTTAACGGAAACCGCTATCGCCGGCACAGTTCCAGTTCCGGTAGCTTCAATAATAGATTGCTCCGCATGTTCAAGCAACCACTTAACAGTTTCTCCATCCGACTTGTGACCCAATTCTCGGGTCAACTGAAAGATCCGAGCTGCACACGTGGCAGGTATTCGGATCCTCCGACCACGGCCCTCTACTTTCGTGTGACGGTCCTTTGTGGAAGACCGCCGTGGGGTGGTGGTAGCCACCGGCATAGCCATTGCCGGAACCAAAGTGTGATGATCGGAGTCAAATGGTTCTTGTTTCAAAGCAGAAAGTACCACTTTTTTCTCATCGGAAAATTCATTACTATCATTTTTCTGGTCATTCGGATCACCGCCGGCGCCGTTGCTGAGCTCGGAGGTGCCACACTCATCATCTGGGTCATGAAAATTCGACATTTTAATGAAAACCCAAAAATTATTTTCACTCAAAATTGTTGAGAGAAATCAAGAAACAAGGAAAAATTGTTGAGAGAAATCAAGAAAACTAGAGCTGAAATGGAGGAAGTGAAGTTTATGGAGAATGAATCAGACGGTTGAAGTGAGGAGGTATATAAGGAAAGAAGGGGTAAGATGGTGACACGTGTAAGGTAAGAAAAGGAGGGTGACCATATTTTGGGTTAGGAGTGTGACTTTTTCCTTGTGAGTGGACCATAATATGGTGGTGGCAGTAACCACAAATGGTCCTACAAATTGTGTAAGAAAATGGATCTAAAATGTGGCCCTCACCCCCTTTGTATAGAGTAAGGTCCCCACCATAATAAGGAGAGGGGCCTTAGAATTAAGAGGGGGCTAAAACATTAATTGGTGGATTATTTTGTTTTATCAAAGGGCAAGGGGGAATGAATGGTGAGGATAATAGAGTAAGAAAAATTAATACACTAACTCTGGCCTAATTTCTTTACCTCACAAATAACTTCATACAGTCACCATCTACTCTAAAGATTATAGTGGAGTGATAAGTACTTATCAATTTTAATCAAATATTTCAAGTTCGAGTTTTGAGAGTTGAATTATTTTTACGAAGGAGTATTTTACTCTTCAAAGTGGGATTTTTCGGAGCAAATTTGAATTAGTCAGACACCAAATGAAAAAAAAAAAAAGGAGCTCCATACCGTCAAATTTGAATTAGTTAGGCTAATGACTTTTTAATATCAAATATCTAAAAAAGCAACAAAAAAAAACATATTTACCTGATTACATTATAAAACCTTTTAATTTTAGAAAGATATGAGTAAAATGTCAATATTAACCTTACGCAGGGGCGGAACTAGAGTGCTAGGAGCGGGTTCGACCGAACCCAGTAACTTCAGTTCAAACATTTTACTTGTCTAAAAAGTCCTTTGAATATGCATAAATTCTTAATTTAGAACCTGGTAACTTAAAACGATTAGAATCTCGAACACATAAACTTGAAATCATGGTTCCGCGTTTGACCTTACGATCAAAGTACTTGCAAAACAGAAAAAATTATACTAGTTCTCAAGTAGAGCCAATAAAAATCAATCTTTAGGTAAAAAAGAAAGGCGTTAAATAAATTGATGGATGGACTACAATTTTATTAAAATTTTTGCTAGCCCTAAGAAATAATACAAGCATAACAAATAGTACTGCTTCTTAGATAATTCTTAAAATTAATACAAATGAATTCTTCTAATAAACAAAAAGAAATGTTGGAAGAGATAATGTTCTTTGCCCAAAGAGAGAGGGGGATGGAAAAGCACTATTATGCTTATATAGAGTGTCATCTTTCTTTCTAAAACATCGGCATTGTAAAGTTCATTCCGAACCAGGAAGTTCTTCATTTTCACAATTTAACCTTAAGATTTGATTAAAGAGAAAGGATCCCAACCATCTCATCCCGCACCTTTGTAGAATCCATGAACTAAATGCAAGTAGGCCACAAAAACCTATAATCACCTATGACTATGGTACAGAAATTGGCAATGGGGGTGTTCAAAATCGAGCCGAAGCCGAAAACTGAATCGAAATCGAAACTTAATGGCTTATTGGTATCGGGTTAACGGTTTAATGGACGGGGAACGAATTGAAATTTTTTTATTAACGGCTTATCGGTTTGGGGGCGGATTATTTAATTTTCTTAACAGATAATCCGTTAACCCGTTAAGAATATATATATATAAAATTATTTTTATCCATATTTATATTAAATAATAAAAATCATTCTTCCTCCAGTACTCTATCAAAGTGAATTAGAATAAAAGAAAACCAAATAAAAGGAGTCATCTAACTGTGACAAAAGACAGAATTTGCTGTCTGAAACATGATAACAACACTAGTTACACCACTGCTTCATTAACTTTGCTTGAGGTTTAAGGCATCCTAGAATTCTAAGCATGACAACATTTATTTTAACAACAGCCAATTGGAAATCTTTCACATGGACAAAGGCCAATGTGCATAAACATAAATAAGATTCTAGAAAGATGATTTACCCATCACGGTGTCTCTTCTGCTTCGTCTCTCTTAGTACGTCGACCACCTATTTAAACATACAGAGACTAAATTTTATTTTATTTTGACTGAATTAGGCCGATAAATCGCCCGATAAGAGCTAAATCGATACCAATATATCTTATCGGGTGGCTGGCGGATTAATACATTTAAAAGCCGATAACCGATAAGCCAAAACGTTAAGAGTAAATAACCGCCCAATCCGACCGATAAGCCGCCCTAATTGGCAATACAAATGTTTGAGTAAATTTTTCCTGTCTTTCTTACTATCTTCAATTCGTATTACTTGTTTTTTGAAAAATTCAGTCCTTAAAAGTAGACATACAATAGCTGTAATTGTACAATAATTTTGTCATAACCATATTTTATTTTTATCTTAAATGTCCAACCTAAGAACACTCCATCAATTAAGAAGTAAAGATAAATTTGAAAAACAAAGTTAATAAAGGCTTCTTGTTTATTTACAAAGACAAATACTTTGGAACAAAATTCAATTTGTCAAAACGAGTGTAATATCTTTTTATATATTTCTGTGATAGAATTAATGATAAGGGAAAAGAGAAGAATGTCGACGAGGGTTGAATTGTATTGATGCAATAGTCACCGTCCTGATCAGGGACTCATGATGTGTGTATACGGTCGAAATTAGGTATGTCCGATTTTCCGGGCTCGAGGGGTCGCCTTAAGCCCGAGTTCAGGATGGATCGAGTTCGAGCTCGATGGACCAGGTTCGAGCTCGACGACAGAGTACAAGGCCCGATGATCGAAGTACGCGATGAGTATCGAAGCCGAGTATGCTCAACCCTGAGATAATGCCGTTATGGATTTGTAACAGAAATGTACGAATCCCGGAATCCCGGAATGCTCAACCCCAAGATCATGGCTTAAATCCCGGAATAGATTTGTACGAATCCGTACTAGGCAGTTAGACAGCTGTCCCAATAAGATTCTTTACTGTAAATAGAAATGTACCTTATTTGGGGTTCCCCTATTATATAAAGGGGTCTCCAATCATTTGTAACCATGATGAATCATTGGAAAAGGATATACTCTCTTACTTTTTGGCTCGTATTTCATCTGAATCGTCTCTTTACTTAATTGTTCTTGCTTTTCTGTTCTTAAGCAACCTCGAGGCTACCTTAGCTCGAGGTCGAGACTATCTTGCACACTGGTTTGATTTTACTTATTTCCTTCATTCATACGTTAGTTTTCCTGGTTATTAATTACTAGTATTAAACTAAATCACATATCTTTAAAACCATAAATCAAATTTAATTGTTACTCGTATTTTTGAGATAAACAGTTTGGCACCCACCGTGGGGCTAAAGATAATAGTGATTATTTCAGTACTGATTCTGATAACACACGTTATTTTCACTCTTTTTCTTGTCAAGATTTTTTTTTTCTCAGGTTAAAACATGTCAAACTCGCAAAACGCACATGTACACGACAACGATGGTCTTGGATTTCATGGGGAGAACAACAATGTAGGGGTCGGTGTACCACGGATAAACCCTGGGGAAGTGTCAAATGTGGAACCATTGATGTTAGTTTACACATTGCTTTGAATGCAGATCTAGGCGCAGACCCTTGAGGAAATGTACACAGGGAAGCCCAATCTGGGGTCCAAGGAACACAGGGTATAGGAGATGGGGGAGTCAGCCTCCAGGTAATATTCGAGATGCTACAAGCTCAACAGATTGCCATCGCTCAACTTCAAAGTCAGAATAAAACTCCAAGTATGGTCGAACCAGAAAATACTCGACGTACTGAGCCGGTGCCATAGAGATCAAATGGTAATGGCTCGGGGACTGACCCCACAATTATGAGGATGCTCGAGGAACTCACCAAGAGAATCGAGTCCGGGGAAAAGAATATTGAGGATAATGAGCAAAAAGTGGAGACTTATAACTCCCGTATTGATCCAATACTGGGGGCACCCCCGGTCTTGAAAGGCTTGGATGCCAAAAAGTTCATACAGAAGCCATTTCCTCCGAGTACGGCTCCGAAGCCCATTCCTAAAAAGTTTTGCATGCCCGATATACCTAAATACAATGGGACAACCGACCCTAATGAACATATTACCTCATCCACTTGCGGGATTAAAGGAAACGACTTGAATGATGATGAGATCGAATCAGTATTGTTGAAAAAATTTGGGGAAACTTTGTCAAAGGGAGCCATGATTTGGTATCACAACTTGCCCCCGAACTCTATCGATTCGTTTGCTATGTTAGCGGACGCCTTCGTGAAAGCACATGCCGGGTCCATAAAGGTGACGACGAGGAAATCAGATATTTTTAAGATAAGATAGAGGAACGATGAGATGCTAAGGGAGTTCGTATCCCGATTTCAAATGGAGCGAATGGAATTACCACCGGTCTCGGATGACTGGGCAGTACAGGCTTTTATGCAGGGTTTGAACGAGCGGAGTTCGATCGTGTCTCGATAATTAAAGCAGAATCTGATCGAGTATCCAGCTATGACGTGGTTAGACGTACATAATCGTTGTCAATCGAAGACCAGGGCCAAGGACGACCAGTTGGGAGCCCCCTCGGGTTTAGTTCATCCTAATAGATCGGCAGCTAAGCCCCCGAGGGATACAGACAGGGAATCAAGATCAAACAAGGAACGATATCAGCCGTATATAGATCGGAGAAACAACGGTTTGGGGCGTAACGCTCCTCGGAATGATCGGAGAAATGATCGAGGTCAAAGCTCTCGGGGACTCATGAGTAAGAATGGTTTTGATAAACATATCGACCCCGCAGAAGCACCTCGATTGTCGGAGTATAATTTTAGTGTAGATGCATCGGGGATCGTGTCAGCTATTGGAAGAATCAAAGACACCAGATGGCCCAGGCTTATACAAACCGATCCTTCTCAAAGGAATCCAAACTTGATGTGTAAGTATCACAGCACACATGGCCATAGAACCGAAGACTGCAGATAGCTAAGGGAGGAGATAGCTCGGTTGTTCAACGAGGGTCATCTTCGAGAATTTCTCAATGATCGAGCTATGAACCACTTTAGGGAAAGAGATGCAAATAGAAAAAATGAGCAGGAAGAAACGCAACATGTAATCCATATGATGTTGGCGGTGTCGATGTTCCACAAGGGCCTGTATTTAAACGCACCAAGGTGTTGATCACCAGAGAAAAATTGACTCGGAGCTATGTGACCGAGGGCATCCTATCATTCAATG